AGCATCGTTTCCTATTAATAAGGTCCAGTAGGTCTTGGGGTAGAGGATTTATTTTGCGGTATTTTTTAGAAGGATCAGGTGAAGATGCAGTCCAAACTGCTTGTTGGATCAAGGTAGTCATGGAATATACTGCTTCATCTAGGTCTGCAGGTGTTTTTAAGGAAACTCTGAGGTCAATATTATCATCCAGTATTTGACGGAAGAGGTTCCAATTAACTGGCCCCCTGATAAATGAAGGTGGAGGTGGTTTGGGAATTGGTGATGTGGAGACCGTTAGGATTAGGGGACTATGGTCTGAGGAAAGATCATCAAGTCTTGAAATGCTATAATTAAGGGACCCTAGACCTTTGTGGATGAAAAAATCTAGGAGATCGGGATTGCGGTTAGGATCTGTTGGCCAGTATGTGGGAGAATTGGGTGAGAGGATGTTGCTGTGATGGGAATTAAGTGCAGCTAGCAATGTTCGTCCTCGGGAATTTGTGGTTCTGGCTCCCCATTGCTGGTGTTTAGCATTTAAGTCTGCACCTAGAAGGAAGTGGTGTCCTAAGGAGTTAAGGAAGGAAGTTAATTGGGATTCTGAGATGGGTATTTTAGGCGGGGAGTATGCTGCGACTACTGCTATTGGGTAAAGGGAAGTTTGGATTATCACGGCAGTGGATTGTAGGAAATTATGGGTCGGCAAAGGGAATAGGTGATGGGAAAGGGATTGATGGATAATTATGGAAGTGCCAGCATGTGCTGTTCCATCAGGATGGTCGGTTCGATAGATATGATAGTTGGGGATGTTAAGTGGTCGTTTGTTGGTAAGTCGAGTTTCAGTTATTAATGCTACATCAATGTTTTTGTCCTGTAATAAGATTGTTAGCTCGTTGATGTGATTTCGAATACCATTCGCATTCCAAAGGAGGACGGAGAGGGATTTGATTGGGGACATTTAAGGATTTCTCGGCAGTGGGATGAGGTTGGATACAACATTGGTAAGTAAGGAAATGAGAGGAGTGATGAGTGATCTGAATTCAGAGAGAAAAGAAGTCAATAGGCTTGTGAGGTCAGTGGCATTGGGAGGAGGAGGAATGAATGCCTGGTTATTAGGCCTAGATTCAGAGATGGGATAAGGGTCTTGAGGTTGAGATGTGAATACTCGAGGTTGAGGTTCTTGTGGCAGGGCCTGAGTTTGTGTGGGTGCAGTATCGCCTTTGAATATCTGAGCATAGGACACTCTTGTATTTACAGTTCTAGAGGGTTGTCTTGGTGGCCTGGATGGCCGTTCTTCTCTTGGAGCTGAATAAATTCTTGCTTTTAGTTCCTTATATGTTTGGCAACCCTTGTAGTTCGCTGGGTGCCCTTGATGGCATAAAGCGCATACAGCTGGTGTTCTTCTGGACTTCTGGCAGTCCTCTGTTTTATGTTTATCACCGCACCGGACACATCTAGGAATGTGGTGACAATAGCGTTTCGTATGACCATAAGCCTGGCAGTTATGGCATTGTACAATGTCGCGCTTAGTGTAGGGCTTTTCTACAACAACGCTAGTGTAGTAAAGGCGTGTGACCTTGTAGATGTCTTCGACCTGGGGCGTTCGGTCAAGGTCAACGAAGAATAGTGGGAGCGGTATTTTATTTTTTGAGCCAGGCTGTTCTCTATCTTCCTTGAATATATTCACTATTTGGCGAACACGGAACCCCATCTCAGTTAGTTCTTCTTTAATGGCATCCAGTGGTGTTGATGGGTGTAATCTCCTGATCACCACCCTGAGCGCTCTCTCTTGGCGCAGCTGATATGTGTGATAATCCGCCTTAGTGTCGGATAAATACTTGACAATTTTTCTGTACGTATCTGGGGTGTCAGGCATTAATTTCGTGTCATTAATGCGGCTTTGGCATAAGTATTTACCTGAGCCCACTATATTATTTAATTGTAGACACATTAATTGAAAATTTTTTATGTTTCTAACGAATATTGGTGGGGGTTTAGGTTCACTAGAGATGGGTACTGCTTCCATTTGTTCATTCTGTGTGTTTGACAACACTTGGAATGGATTAGCTGTAAAAAAGGGCGATTCTTCTAACGTACCTTGTATTGATATAGCTTGTGTTGACATATTTTGTGATGATGTGCCAGGTTGATTTTCGACTTCGTCAACTGAGCTCTCTGGTGTAGCTGGTGGGGTATTTTTTTTAGAGCGTCTAGCCCTTTTCTTGATAGGTGAACTCTTTGTGGTATCTAGACTCCTAGATCTTAAAGTTCGATTGCTACCTTTGCTCGACATTACCATGTGAAAATATCGCATCTCATGTTAATTAATTAGAGGTAAATGTAATAGTTTGTAAAAAAAAGTCTTTTATCAATAACGTATATATTACGCGAATTTGTGGAATTCTAAGAAACGTAGATGTGCTTCCGCCGAAGGGCAGCTGCCCACTGGTCGGATTAGCGAATGTATATGGCCGGCTTGTTATCTATCACTATCCTCAGGTCTATTTACATTGTTCACAATGCCGTTATAAATAAGTTATTACTCACCTTATTTATGTCCAGTTTCAACTTAATTGTTAACTTAACAGTTCACACTACTTTTTCACAAATAACATGAATTATTTCACTGATAATAAAGTCACTTTATAAGAGACGAAATAAAGAGTATATGTGTAGGGTTAACGCATGCGCAGAACTGCAAGGGCAACATTAAATACACCCAATGGAGGGCCTGAGTACTGGTAAGATAAGTACTGTTTCAAGACCAACGGCTGTACAGGTTTTTTAGTTATTAAAAAAATGATAATTTTAGTAAAAAGAGGTAGGACGATTTCAGTCTAAATATGTTAGGTGTATTTGAATTATGAGTACATCCAATTTACGAGCTAAATATTGAAATTTGAATATTCTCTTTTTTTTAACCAATAATTACTATTTTAATAACAAAATAATAGAAATGAAATAGACTTATAACTAAACATTATAGACCGGTATAAAGTAATAAAAATAGAAGACAAATTAAATGGTAATTTTGAAGTATTTTAAAAATAATATCCTTCGAACCAACGTTTGGAGTTATCCCGTAGTAATAATTAGAACTTTATGCTAATAAACATATAATGTATTTCTCACGCATAAATAATAATAGTAATGAGACTACCTTCTTCCGTGGAAATTATACCCTCCTCCACGATTACTTTATTCAGAGCGTGTCGTTCAATGCCTCGCTGAGCTCCATCTTGTTTCGTCTTCGTTGTAATATTTAGCTTCGGGGCAAATTATTTTTGTTATAATATTAATTCTTAGAATAATGCTTAACAATTTCAACGTAGTAGTAATTGATTAAAATTCAGAAATTAATATTTAATATAAAAATCCACTTCTAAATTATTACCTAAAATATCGATATGAATGCTTCGGAAACAACTTATTAGTATTTTATTCATCTAGGGCCCAGAAACTATTGACAAATTTATTTGAAAAGGAGCTATTTCCTAAAGTAAAAAAAAAAAATTGGCACTGAATGTGAGTATTGTGCAGTACTGAAAATCTGAGAGGCGTAACTGCAATTAGCAGAAATGTAGGTGTGTGCAGACTAAGCATTTGATTTGTTTGCACATCTGTTTAAGTGCCTAAATAAAAAAAAAACTTGTGCGTTTTAAAATCTCATTATGTGGAAGGACCAAATCATTCTTCTTCATTCTTTTTAATTTAAACTGATGACTTAAATATCTAGAGGATGGTTACATTTCAAACATTGACTTATGACTACAAAACTTTTATAGTTACTTTTAAACCTCCTGGCTATTATTTTTATAAAGCGATATATTTAAAATGATCATAATTTTTAAAAAAACATTTTTTTTTCTTTTCTTCTCCTGAGAAAAATAATAGGAATTATATTACCTCACAATGTATTCTCCATAGAAAAATTATAACAACTATTATACCTCACAATATGTTTTTATTTTATTTTGTTATAATTCTACGCAGAAAGATCAATGCTTATATATCATTTCTTATATTTCCACACTCGATGGTAAACCCTGATTTCTTTAAAGAATTCTATAAGAGATTTGACACCAGTTTTCGTGTCTTCTAGGATTTCTCGTATATTGTAACTCAACTTCGTTTTTTCTTATTGTTGCATTCAACCAATTATATTTTTCAAACCCTAACCTAATCAAAGAATCCAAAGCCTAGTTACTTATCTGGATACTTTCAATGAGTAAATATATTTATTTTTTTTTATGGGTGACGTTTTTCCTTCTTGACTTTTTTTTCTTGTAGTATTTCAGTATTCCATTGTACGGTTTTATAACAATTCAGTCGGTTAAATTCGGTTAGTTAAATGCAGTAATATTCTTAGCGTTTTAAAGGACGTCTCTTAATCTGGAAGAAAATTCATATACGGTGTAAGGATGGATTTTTTAAATCGTTTTTTGGATTATATGTTTCTTGGAATCTTATTTTGAGCCTAGGTTAATTTTTTTCTTTGTCGACTTCAAAAGTCCATCATTTTTAATAACAAACCATTAGTTGAAATGGATTAAGTTATGCAAAAATGATACATCATCCTGCAAAAATTTACAAAAGTAATAATATAGTTTATAAAAAAATAACCAATGAATAGTTAGGAGATACAGAAGGAATGACTGAAAGAAAATTGTCACAACGATTTTCTAGTATAATATGAATGAATCAAAAAATATTTAAATTATTTATAAATTAATAGATGAAAATAAATCTATAATTCTGTTATTAATGTTCCATTAAGTAATAACGACATAAGAAATAATAAATAAAAATATCAACAAAATATATTTTTTTTAAATGCGGTACAACGAATTTAACAAAAATGTGAACAATACTGCCACTTTTTTACAAGCACTCTGAAGCTGAGAAATGTTTCCTTTTTTTTTTTTTTTGCAATATTAGACCTATGGTGCGAATTCACACCATGAAATAAAGCCCATTTAATGCTTTATGACATGGCGTCAAAGATGCCGGTCCTATAACAGTCACTACAACAATGAAGCCCTTCCAGTTGAACCGGGGCCTGGAGAAGTGCAAGCTCCAGGAGATGGAGAGTGGAGAAAGGCCAAGGGCGCACGTGGAAGGGACTGGAGAAAGCTAGCCCTAGATCTGTAGCGTACCCCCCTCACGATCTGGTACGATTGGTTCATCTCGGGTACATCCTGTCGGGGAATCGTTGATCGGCTCAGAAGTACCAGGTACCACTTACCTGAATCCCTGCTGAATTTAATAATAGTAACATACTTTTAAATAACATTACATACCTTTTTATAAATCAATAGAGAGTACCCGCCAGTTCGCCTGACGGCGGGCCGAACCCCGTTTTACAAATCATACAATTGTTCATTTAATTTGCACTACTCGTTGCTCAAATTGTATAACTGCAATTTACATGAATTCTGTAGTTCAGATTGTATTATTTTTTATAAATAAAATAATAACAAAACATAAAATAAAAGGAACGAAACCACAGTTCGGACAATATCTTTAAAAATCTAAATTATACATACTACCTTCTTGCCAATTTATATTATTATGTAATTACGATTATTCTTATTGCCAATTTTCAACCATAATAAGGGAGAAATAATTCTGGGAATATGAAGTGTAGTGTGTTCGTTACAGTCCGTCCTGCTGTTGTCTTTGTTACGGCTCGCCCCGCTTTGTATATTTAAAATAAAATATGACATGGTCACTAAAATCTTTTTTATATCAGAGAGAGATATAATAAACTTTCACATTACAAAAAAAAAAAATGGAAAAATTCATAGCCCTTGAACCATAACCAAAAACGGGTAATCATCGCAGAAGAAGGTTTGATTGTAAATTAACAAAGTCTACTGTGAAAAATATTGAAAATAAATGTGGGTTAATGGTTGACTGTAATGAATAATGAAGAGAAGGATGGTTGAGGTGATCAGTCAAAATAAAAATGGTAAAAATAAATGATAATATTTATTTTAACATTTGGCAACGTTTCGAACCGAAGTTCAGGCCTTCATCAGGACTGAGAAAAGAACCAGATAACAATGGGTATGAGAAACATAAACAATGAAGGTAAAAAAAACCTAAAGTAAAATGAAGTATATAAGTTTTAAAAAAACTTAAAATAAAATGAAGCAGATAAGTGAACATTAAAATAAAATAAAGAGATAAATAATAATAAAGTTATTATTATTTGTCTTTTAGTTATTGTTATTGTCATTATTCTACCTACTTTATTTTACTTTAATGTTCACTTATCTGCTTCATTTTATTTTAAGTTTTTTTAAACTATATTGTTTATGTGTCTCATACCTATTGTTATATGGTTCTTTTCTCAGCCTTGATGAAGGCCTGAACTTCGGGTCGAAACGTCGGCAAATGTTAAAATAAATATTATTATTTATTTTTACCATTTTTATTTTGACTGATCACTCCAACCATCCTTCTCTCCAATATTGAAAATATATTGTAAACATTTCGGGAAAAGTTTTTAGTTTTTATGTGAGCCAAAGTAGCCAGATTTTTTTAATTTTTCCCTCAAAACTCCCGAACGGTGCATCATAAGGTGACAAAAGAAACTTCATGAAGAAGTAACCAATTTCAATTTCAGAGTTATAATTGGACTACATAATAAATGACGGTATTCAGTGGATGCAGAATTTTTTGCTCTATAATTTTTATCCCGTAAGCTTTTTCTCTTATAGATCATATTTCCAAGCTATTGAGTCATCTATGGTCTCAGTTTTTGACAAATTTTAAAATTTAGCTTTAATTGACCGTGGTTTTTGACTACACAATTCAACGAACAAGTTAACGCTCTTTCATTTGGATGAGAATGAGTTTTTCGCTTGGATGCGATGTTGAAGCGTTATAATGCAATCGTTTTTACTTGGTTGAATCCATACATATATGTTAAAAAAAAACTAAAAACCTTTCCCGAAAACAATCCTCAAGTAACTGGTCTAATATTCTTTAAATCAGCCGCCATTTTTGAAAGCAGTTGTTCCAGAATGGCAAACGTAATCTACATCCAAACCTTTTTCTGAGCTATCAGACCAAACAATGGAATAATGAAAACCATTCAATCAACACATTCATAAGGATTTTATCACAACAGTAATTATTTAATTAAAATTCTCCTGAATAAATAGCTCCTGAGACTATGTAAATTAAAGATAATATAAAACCAGATTGTATGTACGAATGAAAACAGGAGCACAGAACGAATCAATTAGTCGTATAATTAAAAGTAATAAATATTCTGATGTTAGAAAAGACTTTAAATAACATGTATCATTAAGATAATAAACTACAATACCTATCTAAACGTGCCCCATTAAAATATATATTATTATTTCTATCAAATACAGTGGCAATGAAAACTATATGAGTTGTTATACAATAGTTCAAAGAATGCATATCCCAACAGTTGCATTTTAACTAAAATAGAAATCACTTAATAAAAATAGATTCGAGCCAATTAAAATATATGAAACATTAATTACCACTACTTAAACCATTCTAAATTTGATTAATTTATAGATAAACATTCCAGAAATTATGAATATTTCTTAATTAATGATATTAAGGACAATCAAGACGGAAATTTAATTAATGCAGAGCATAAGTAGTCCACTGAATATGTAATTAAATGCTGATAACCACACATTTATATTTAATTATCCAACAATGGATGGAAGAGATTAGTGTTGCCCAAAATCGGTCTTGTTCTTGCACTTTGCAAGACCAACACCAAGGCCGCCTAACTGTTACCAATACCAAGACCAGAACTGGTAAAAAAATCGATTTTTTAAATAAAAATTAAGGCAAAATAGTTACTAATACTTGACAATCTTAGTTACTATATGTTAATAATTAGTATAACCAATATACTTTTGTATTTAACTCCTCTAATTTTTCATTCGGGCTTAGTTAGGTTTTTCCTATCTAAAAAACTACAGTGATATCTCTATAGTATTAATCTAATAGGTAACTGCAAGACTGTTGCGAGACTCTTATGCAAGACCAAGACCACAACGAAGACTGGGTTTGCAAGACCAAGACTCGTGTCGGTCTCGCATTTACGCAACACTAGTCTAGATATATATCCCAAGAGAAACATTTTTGTTTAATCAAAAAGTATGTTCATATTTCACTTCAGATAAAAGATGAATAGAGGTATTACTCTCAGAAATTTTGAGAGTGGATCCGTAGGCCTCATGTAGTAATGTAATTTAAATCAAACTTTCTTCAGTCAAGTAATTCTGTGCATTCTCACAGGATTTCAATCAGTCCTAACATAAATTTATCGTATATTCAAAATCGCTAATCAGAATGAAACACGAATATATTAAAAGAATCTTTAAATCCATGAGACGATATCTAAAATTAATAGTAATAATTTTTTTTTTTTTATTGAAATGGTACCTAAACAGTAATACATAGAATTAATTGTAGACATATATCGTCGGTTTATTGCAAAAAAGACTAAGAATCATTTCATAACCTCGAATAATTAAGAACTTTGATAAATTTCCGCTTTGTGAAAACAAAATTAATCAATCCAATTAAATTAAATTAATTAAAATAAAATTTAATTAATTTAATCATTGAAATAAAAGGATTTGTGTCATTACGTTGCGCTTGCTGTGTTTTATTTAGATAAATGAGGTCGAAATTCACAAAAAACATACTGCCAAGTTAATCTTTATCAAAAATGCATTTAGTGACTGTCTCAATTTTTAGTAGCTAGACTTAAGGTGGTGATTCTAGACAAAATTCCTGACAAAAAAGTTCATTTGACGCATGGATGGTTATGGCAAAGTCCAATTTCGGTGATCATGTTTTCTGTTCCATAGAAAGCAATCACACAAAAATTATTTAATTTAGTGAAATATTTAGTGTAGTGAAATAAACAAAGCCATATGAACTGTGTATAGTTATCTTCTTGGCTTAAAATAGTTTAAAGTTTTTTTTTTCACTTTTACCTAAGCACATGACATTTCAGTTTCCCTGAAAATTGTAGATTCCTGAGGTGGTATACACTAATTATCTTAGGTATGTATATTTACAATTATGTATATGTGTGTGTGTTTGTTATTAAACATTATACTGATTGAACTTGGATATTACTTAAGATATTGTTAATTGATTACACTGTGTTTAGTTGTTATCTAGTTGAGGGAGATGATTTAGCAGAACATCTATGGAGTTTATTATGGGTACACCAAACTTAGGTAACCTTAACATTTAATTTTATTGAATCTGGAATTAACCTGGAATTTGAGAGACATCCAAATTTAATTTAGGGTATTTTCATAATTAATTTAAGAACATAGATGTATCGTCACAAGAAAAAGAAGGAATCAAAACTTCATAATAATTTCAGGGTTGTTATTTTTTTTTTTTTAAATACAGGTATTCTAAACGGAATGAAAATAAAATAACATAATTTTTCACACAGTGGTAAAGCTCAACTCTATTCAGCAACAAACCTCAACTAAATCGATATACAACTCAACCTTAGTAAACAAGTAAGTGGTTATTATACGTAAGTGGTACGATGATAAAAAAATAACACAAATAAACAACGATTTGATGAGAAACACAACTTAACGTAGTTTAACCGCTCAAAAATCTGCTTTGAATGGTATTCATGAAGACAAACCCTACTTGTATATAAAGAAAATTTTCTCTGGTTAACTAAGAAACAACTGTTAATGACCTTAATTAAATATTTTTTGAGTTATTGTCTTCTATGAAAGAAAAACTTGACCACTATAAGAAAACACAAAATTAAGCTCCTTTTTTGCTCGAATTCGGTCTAAGCATCAAATACGTTTTTGTTGGAAATTTTGTCTACAATCACCTATCAGAATTCGACCATTAAAAACTGAGAGACCTTGTAGATATAGAATGTAGGTATCCCATTCTTCCCCTATCCAGGATAAGAATCATGTAAGAAATAAATGAATAAATTATGCTTATCGTATATATTTCGTTACAGTTAGAATAATCCATTCCACGATGCATTCTAATTACTATAAAGAAATTAGTGAAGAGTACATACCCCGTCTACCTGAAAAAAAAATCGTAACCAAAACAGACATTAATTTGTAAATTGTAAACTAATATACTTTTTTAAATGATTAAAATAATTTTATACCTAGATGACTAAGTCCTGAAGAAGCAAAGAAGTCAACGACTGGCACCACCTGATCCGTGGAGGAAGGTGAAGTAGGAGTAAGATGCCTTGATAATCTGCAAAGGAGGATAATCTTTATTGGTGAGCTATTGTATAGTACGGCTTAGACTAAGTAGGGGCTAAGGAGATAAGCCAAAGTATCACAAAACTTCATAAAAATAATTTATCATTAGCAAGGATAATATTTGCCTTGAAAAGAGTAAAGGGCGGATTTTGATGACCATCTAAGTAAACAAATAAACTTTAAAGGACCATAAATAAATATGATAGGAATAAATAATGCTTGTATGATAGATTTGAAAATTAAAAAAAAAATTACGAAAGGGAAGTATTAAAAATAATTAGTTTCTCATATTGAATAATTAATTGAAAAGTATTTATATTATATATATATATATATATATATATATATATATATATATATATATATATATATATATATATATATATATATTTTCGGTTGGCTCTACATACCTTTTAGATCTTTGGCCGCCTGATTTCTTAATATGGTGTTTTTGACGGGATAGGGTTATTAGGCCCTATGCCCAACCCCCAACCTGGAGGTATAATACACATCATATAATACACATCATTGGAAATCAGCGACATTGTGCGAAAAATACTTGAACCATTTTATACAAAGCGAAAACATAGACATTACTCTTATTCAAGAACCATACACGAGAAATAACAATGTAATAGAATATTAACACAGAAATTAAATTTACCAAACATATGACACCAAACCCAAAACTGCAGTCATACCGAACAACAAACTTGCTGATGCAATATTACTATACTAAAGTGACTGAAACTTTTGCGCCACAGAAATCACTGCCAAACAATCAAAATTCATATATATATATATATATATATATATATATATATATATATAAATATAAATATATACTCATTTATTTATTGAGTAATGTAACGTACTGTCACATTCAAGGACACTAGTAATAGTTATAGAGTTGTTCATTCACACTCTAAAAACAAATTAAACAGCAAAATAATAATACTAAAATTAAATGTATTTGGATTCGCCTTTATACTAAAGGGTCATTGGCTCTATACTGTTTATTTGTTCTTATATTTTTTGTATATACCGTTAAATTAAAAAAAAAATCATAGTTCTCACTGGAGTATGGCAGTATTATTATTAACCACAAAAATAATAAATAAATTATATTTACTTGAGTGAATGATGCCAGATTTACAGCGTAGAACTTGCCAGCAGAGAGGTACTCGGGTGTGATGGTTCTGATCTGTGCGATTAAAACATTCTTCTTGAAATAATGGCTAGCGCTGGCCCATCCACTTTCGTAAAGGCTTCTGTGCACTTTTCCTGTCTAAAATAAATCTACATTTAAAAATATTTAATTTATCAATCCGAATATAATTATTTACAAGATGATAATTAAACAAAACGGCGATTTGTTTTAGACGTGTCGTATATTGCAATTCATCTATATATTTTATTTTACTTATATTTTATATAAAAAAATCTTTTTTATAAAATTAAAGTCAATATATTTAATACTACATTTTCCCAAGTTAACTGAAAAATACTTTATTTTAAAAATTTATTTATTTTTTTTAAATTTTATTTATTGTACATAGAGTGTGAATGTGATCTGTGAACTCTGTTATAAATATCCTAGAGACAGATTGTAATATTTTTCAATAAATAAGTTTAAAAAAAAAAAATTAAAACCGTGCACAACATGCAATTAATGTACGAGTAATTATTACAACCAACATTGTACATGGCAAAAATTGTATTATTGATTCTTTTATTAATTTGTATCAGTCTATACTTAATGATTCGTAAATATCTTCCACCATTGAGTTCCTATTCTATATAAGAAATATTCAATCTCCTTCAGGATATTGATTCAAAACAATAGCAATAAGAGTTTCATCTCCTGAGGCAACGGTACTCAAACCACTTCACAGATTTCGAACCAACTATAAAACCTCAGTGTATTAAATATTATTCAATATTCTACATGGGATCAATATGAAAGAAGGCTGCCCATCAAACAATCATGAGCCACATATCCACGACTCTGAATCAACGATAATAATAAGTTTTCTTCGCATAACGTACCATATATTTTTTTAACATTCAATATAGATAGTTATTTATAATAAAAATAAAGGAAATAGGAGGTATTAAATTATCAAATCAACATTATTAATATTATTAAATAAAACCTAGTATTCAGATTGAATAGTAGATCTAATTCGGTCAGTGTGTGATTCTTTGATTAAAGTGAGATGTACTACGTCAAGTATATATGAATTTAATTCTCTGGTTTTCTGCATTGATGTCTCGAATCGTAAATCGCTGACTGATTGCTTATTAAATGCTATTTCAGTTACAACACACAAAATTCACTTTATGAAGATTTTATTTAAGAATTAGTATTCATTAAACAAAGTTAAAAAATAAATCAATAAAAATAGAAGAACTTTCTAGGGGCTACTTTGATCCACTGGAGAAACTGAAAAATAGCGGGGTGTGGTAAAGTGTTAGAGGGTTTGGTGATGATAGTGCTGCTATCTGTCGGAGTGACATTTTTTTTTTTTTTTTTTTGTTCTTCCCTACCTTGCCTTTTAGGCTATACGGGATTTTCCCGGGCCGGAGGGTGAGGGCGGGGAATTTTAAATCCCCTCCGGCACCGGGACGCGAACTCGTACTTTTTAAACTCGCGGTGTTGTGCACATGCTTTAGCCCATCCGGCCACCCCGCCCCTCACTCTGTCGTAGTGACTGTGGAACATACCTATATTTTCATATTAAGACACCTAGATGTAATTTTCGATGGTTCAACGTTAACCCAACTGTTTTCAAGCAGCCCCAAGTTATGGCGCTTGGATTTTCATGATTACGCTTATTCATGTCTGAAATCTCCATTGTCAACCTGATTTTCAAGAAATGCAAAATCTCGAATTTTAAAATCCTTATTCCCAAACTAACAAGGAGAGGATACAGTCTGCGGGACCGATTTCAATCAAATCTTTTTTGGTGACACTGCATCGAAAAATATTAGACAAGTTTCCAGACGTTCTTTTCAGTAATCTCTAAGAATCGAAAAAACAAATTTTTTTTTTTTTTATTATAGAAATTTACAACTGCATTAAATGATAAATACACACTGTATTAAATGATAAAGAAATTATTTTCTTTTGTGGTTCACGACCCCATTAGCTAAATTATTAAAATTATGATTTGCTTTAACGTATTACAGCATGTGACGATTTTTAATAAATATTCATGATATCTCTCTCAAAAAATCATTCCTCTTCCATATTTTCCATATTAAATACATTTGCGGGAAAATGTTTTTTAAAAAACTAAATATTTGCCTAGAACAATGTATCGCAAAATACATATATGACCATTAGAAGGTATTTTGAGTATGCTCAACTGGAATTTTTTTTTTTGGTAGGAGTGTTAGTTGTGGATTGCATGCAGTCAAGTACAGAAAAAAAATGTTTATTTTCATTGCGCTAATGTTTAAACACAAGCGTTAGGTCTTCATCAGGTCTAAACAAAGACAAGATAAAGTTATGATAACAAAAAAGAGAAAGAGGCTAATGACATAAATAATAGGAAAAATAGTACGTTATCAACGAAAAAATATATACTAACAAGAGGATAAAAATTACATTGCGTAAGATAAATTAAAGTATAAATGTACTGTAAATGATGACAAGCTATGACAATGTATATGTGAAAAATTATCACCTGTAGTACATTTAAAAAAAAGTATAATATAAGAGGATAATGAACTGTGTTACGATACATGAAAATAATCGATAAATAACCGAGTGTATAACAATTTTCAAAAATATTTTTTATTGGATTTATAATGCTAGAAAAATAGTTGCATCAACTCCCAACTTTCCAACCATAATGTCTACAGTCTATTATTTCTCCATCATTAGGAAACTTTGTTCACTCAATGTTAATCATGGTTTCAGGTGCCAATTTATGTATATATATATATATATATATATATATATATATATATATATATATATATATATATATAGTGTCAGAAGTGTTAGTCTAAACTCAGGGCCCATAGTTAGGTGCAAGCAATACCCCTCACAGCTCCATCCAGATACCTGCCCCAGACAGGCACCGGACGACTATTAGAAACAAAGGGTTCATAGGGAACATTAACCTCAGATATCAGCTCATGTTTCAGTCCATCAAACGGATCAGATCTTAATTACTTTATTCAATGTTTGTCTCCAAAGGGTACCGTTAGTTCTATGTAACACTAGAGCCATGGCGACCCTGGGAGGATTTAGGATTAAGCCGAGAGAACGACATCCCAAATCTATTAATTTGGTCCGCGGCTCAGAAAAAAATAACCTTAAATTCCATTAGTAAGTGGTCTTGATACAAAACCTAAAACAAAAAGGTAATCATTAATGCGATATAAAGCCATACTTAACTGTATTCGAGAAGTTTTTTGTTTTATTAGGAAAAAAGCAACATACAAGCAGCCTACAATGATAAGACAATACGGTGAAATTTATCTCTAATTAAATTAATTCCAGCAGGTTAAGATTATACGAACGTACTTCCATAATAAACCACTAGCATTTTTGTGAATTAAAAAAGTTTACACTGATATGTTCAACCGAACATTCAACGAAAAATCGTAAATTTACATTCCTATTGGAAGAATAAATAAAAACCAAATACCAGCAACTTTCAGGCTTCGAAGTTTTACAAGCGTAAAGATGTAACAAAGTTGGACAAGTTAAAGAACTTGGAGGACGTGCATTTTAAAGTGGTAGCTTAAGTACGACATACTTGTTATACTTATATATAGTGTTGCCCAAAATGGACACTTTGCAAGACCAAGACTAAGGCCACCTAACTGTTGCAAGACCAAGACTGGTTCTGGTGAAAAAAAAATCGTCTTTTTAAAATAAAAATTAAGACAAAATAGTTACTAATACTTGACAATCTTAGTTGCTATGGGTTAATAATTAATATAACCAATATACTTTTTCATTTAACTTCTCTAATTTTTCATTCAAGCTTACTTAGGTTTCTCCTATTTAAAAAATTACAGTAATATCTCTATAGTAATAAGCTAATAACTAACTGCATGACTTTCTAGACTCTTGCGCAAGACTAAGACTGAATTTGCAAGACCAAGACTCATCTCGGTCTCGCATTTGGGCAACACTACTTATATATATATTTGTTATATATACAATATACTTGCTGAAGTACAATATAGGATTTAATAAAACTAATTAGTAATTCAAGAAAGAAAACCTTTGTTGAACTTCTTCCTTTACGCAAGAGATCGTTAATATTCGATTTAATTCAACAAAAAGAAGCCTAATGAAAGGAAACAACGTAAAAGCGTAAACTTATTTTAAAGAGATCCTGACGTTTCGGCCATAGGCATAGACTTCTGAAGGAGGAAGGGTACAAGGGAGTTGATCGCCTCTCCAATAAAAATAGAGAGGGGGCGAGAATATCTTTCCTCTCTCCCCCAATATTTCGAAGAAAAAAAAAAATCAAAATCAAAAACAATTTTTTGTTTGTTTTTGTCGTATAAAGATTATTACAGGAACGATGCTCTTTTCTTCTTTTTTTTTTACCTCCCCTCCCTTGCCTGTAGGCTATACGAGAGTTTTACCGGGCAAAGGGAGAGGGCGGGGAATGCAGACGGAGAAAAAAGCTCTCGTATCACCGGGACGGAAACTCGTAGTTATTTAATCTTATAACTTTTGCTATCACATTATCAGGTAAGGCGGTGCTGAGCACACACGCTAACCTGCTTGGCCAAACCACTCTTATTACAGAAACGATCTAAAAAAAAATGTTTGTTTTTGTTATATCGGCGAGGATGATTTCTCTAGAACAATTTGTTTATTTTTATACCATTAAAAAAAATCTTTATATTATTCATAACGCTAAATCTTCCCGATCCACTCAAATTCCGAATATATTACTCGTGGTGAGAGTTTAATTTGGAAATGAGCTAGAGAAAAAGTTAAAATATAACGTTTTTTAAAATGTCATTATTTTTTTTTTTTGCTCTGGTGACTTCAAAACGAATTGAAGTATAAATTCTTATTAATGTCTTTCCAGCCTTTTACTTTTATAAATGAAATCCAAATATAAATGTCCTACTTCCTTGGTGTTTCTTCAGAGGAATATTCAGGTTCCTACCCGTCCACATCCTAAGTAGACGGGAAGAAGAACGATGTGTGGGACCAGGCGCCATATTCGACAACGCACCAAAAATAAGAATAACATTTTCTCTGCCGCTGCGAATAAAAATGACACAGAGACCGAATAACGA